GCTGCAAGTAAAATCATTCTGTAATCACATTCTGGGCGTAAAATAATTAGTAAAAAAGCGTGATTTTTTTTTTTTATAACTTGAAATCATCTCGCTCCTCTCAGTTTGTGTACAGCCCCCCATTGTGTAAAAGAGATGTTTTCCACCAGCCAGGGCTCTACGGAGAGAGGAGAGGAGATAAAATAGAAAAGTCCTCTGTGACTGCACAAGCTTGACGCGATTATATCAGAAACTACAAGGAAACACATTTGATGGTCCGGTCTGAGGCGCGTCTTAAAACGAACTGCTGACATTTGATAAGTTTAGACAATGAGTTCTCAACGCATCAAGGAATAAAATGAGTTTTAAGACAAAATGTATATACGATGGAAGGTAGAGCTTTGGGAGTAAAATGATGCAATGGCAAATGTATAACCCAGCTTGTGAACGGAAACACACAAACAGCAACAGCCAATAACAAAGCATTTCACTTATAACAATTCTATTCATATTATTCTGCTGTGGGAGAAGACTATTGAGGATATGGAGATTTTAATAATACAGTGTTACAATAGCTCTTCTCAAGATTCTCAAGAAAAACACAGCTGATTTCAAAATAGTAATGCATTGGCTTTAAAAAAACCCTCAAAGACCCTGGCATAATTCATTCACTTCAAGACACACACCAGACTCATACTTGGCAATGTGGGTGAAGTGTCTTGCCAAAGGACACAGCGTAGCTTAGCACTAAACAGCCACAACCTCCGCTCTGTAGTACCTGGTGTTCCTAGAGGTCTCTCATCACAGCTCTAATCAGGCCCTGCCCTGCTTAGCTTCTGAGATTTGACAGGATCTCAAGTTTACTCTGCTTGCCTTTAATACCAGCGCTCACAGTTCATGCTATAGTTCAGGCAAGACATATCCAAATATAAATATTGAAGTCAACTACACTTTATGTCAAAAACAATATCTTCATCAATGAGCTGCTAAGAAAAAATATATTATTAAACAAACTTATTCTTGAAATACCTAGTCCCTAGAATAATAACAAAATATTTTCACCAAACTTCCCAAAGGTTTGTAAATTACACCAGCCTTGCAACACTTGGGTATGGATGGAACATACATTGCATCATGGCTGTCTGCCTGTAGATGTAGAACGACACTATTATTTCATTACCTCCGCTCATGGGATCACAGGAGCGGTTACAGTGAGGAATAGGTAACGTCATGTATTTTGGGGTCCTATTATGCCCACGGGAACACTTTTCTCATCTCTCTGCTCGGTGAACACTGGACACTCCGCATCATTGGCTCCTTAGCTCTTCGTTTTTCTCCCTGTCTTCTTTTGGCTGCCTCCCTCATTATTTTCCCTCACTTTACTGCCCTAACGAGTGACTGCCCTAAGGGGGAATCGCAGTCTTAAACATGGCCTCCCATTCGCCACTACACACACGAGCACGTCAACAGCAATGAAGCTCACCCATGGAGACTGCTGCCCTCCCAGTGACTGCGTGCGTTGGCCTGGATTTAGAAGATTTTGTGAAGCATTCTTGTCCCTGCTCCCCATAGGCAAAAATCACACTTGTAACTGTGAAACTCACAATGCATTTGCCTGTCAGTCACAGGGGGAGTGGGATGAGAAAATAATGAAATAACTGGAATGACTAAAGGCACTGGGAAGAGTAAGAGAAATGGGGTGGGTAGACGGCAGTTTCTCCCAGACTAATGGGATCACTATGTTGTGAAGCGGTGAATGATCAAATGGTAACATTTTCTCAAGACAAGATTTCAAACCAACACTATTTCATTAGTGTAATGCAGAATATGCTCATGTATACTGTATGTCCCGTTTATTTGTGACGAGTGCTGGACATTCAGCTTTATTCCATTAAATTATAGACTATTTATTTGGGTAATTAAAAGCCATCTGCTTCTGAGAGTTTCATCTGCAATTCACTGTGATTGGTTTAATATGTAATAATATATAAAGGACAAATATAAAATCATATTTAAAGGACAACAGAGTGGGTGCATAAAAGTGTATTTACTGGAATATCACTATTTCCCCCCAAAGAAAAGCATAATGCAATGCTTAATAGCCATATCATTCAAACGAATTTAAGTCAAAATTCATAAGTCATTAAAGGTGGTGTCAGTAAATTCAATTGTTCACCAGCAGTAACATTTACTGGAGGTGTCTAGCAAGGATTTTAGTTAATTAATTCAGTCAGAAGCTGTGAGGGCGGGTCTAACTGATGCTTGGGCTCAAAACGACTGTTTATCTTGAGCATTTACTCGAGCACTTGAACACAAGTAACTAATCTTCACTTTAAGCTAAATATTGCGCACTTCTAGAGACACAATAATTGCAGGGACAATAGTTAAAAACTAGACTGTCAACCCACCTAACTGTATTTTTGAATTGGTAATGATTCTTCAGATGATTTTGCAGTTTTTTGTGTTATTGGAAAAACTTTCAAAGAGTCCCCATTTTTTGACTTTTGGCCTCATTACAGAAATAAATCCCGCCTGTGCCTGCTGTGGCAATATGTGTTTATGCAAATGAATGTGGGGCATTAATCCTCAGGGCTGTGCTCAGTCGGACGGCTGTAGCCTGGTCCAGTGCCCACTCCGGCTTTAACGAGAGTTACTGGTACAAGTGCAAAATACTTCTAATGATATGTGAGTGTCTGAATAAAAATATGCACTCACACAAACACAAGAAAAAAAACAATACACTTGGACTTTGGAGACCATTCTCTTTTTGGTCATGAATTGTAAATTACTCATTGTTCTCCACAGAGACCAGTCTGTATGAACATCGACTACATGAATCCATTCAGACTTCTGTAACAAAACCATATTGACGTTTCAACACATTACGCTGTATTTTTGTGGACGGTAATCGTTTTTCAAATATTTTCTCACCAATTATTATGCAGAATAATGGTCCCAACCACTTGATGTGATGACAGCCGTTTGCAGTTGTGTGAGGGTAAAACATGTAATTCAAAATGTTCTTTGCAGCAATCACACAACAATGTTCCTCCATGTTGGCTTTTCCTTTTATAAATCTGCTGCTGGCAAAATTAGTGACATTTCAGATTATTCAATTCATCTGTGATTACTCTTTGAATGTGGGGAGCTGCGAAGGTTGTTTGAACAGGTTTTTTAACAATCTAACTGTAACACTTTGTATTTATAACATTCGTATTTTTGAAGTTTTGATATTCTTTGACAACAAACTAAACAAACATACATTTAACAATGATTCGGCTAAATATTAATATTATTCATTGACCGTACTGACCGAGTGCTAAGGTCACCCATAGTGTTTGCTGTGTACAGAAGAAGCCGATTTGAACATAAGCTAACTGGAGTCAATTTGATTATATATGATTTATTTCAAAGGGGGGAACCTACGTGCACTAACAGGGGCAGATGCAATCTAGAGTTTCGCCCACAAATGAAGGCATCTGATTGACCTTATGGCTCATATCGGGATTCATAAGACAAAATCTAAATAAAAAAACTGGATCATAGAGAGCTCAAAATGGTGAATGTAACAAAAACAGTAATAAAGTGAGAGGAGTTTACTTTTCAATGAGTCAATAGGAGCCAGAAGCAAAACTTCGTCCATGAGCACTTCCCTATTGAGCTTCATTGATCAAGGCAGTTAGCATTGTCCATTTACAGTATATACATTCTATGATATCATTAGAACAGGTGTCTCCAACCTTTTTCACCCAGAGAGCTACTTTCCTGGGTTGATAAAGGCAGAGAGCTACTACTTTAAGCGCCCTGGGAAAAAAAGTGGCAATATATGGGTGTGAACGAGCCTAATATTGGGAACAATGATTATTTATCATCACATATTTGTTACTAGTGCTACAAAGTAAGTGCATTTACAATAATAAATAATGAATGAATAACACACTGAAATATTAAGTATATATATTATTTTTTCATTTCTAAATTTGAGCTACCTGGAAGGGGGTGGCGAGCTACTGGTGGCTCCTGAGCTACAGGTTGGAGACCCCTGCATTAGAATATGACTGCCATCCACTGTCAAGAATATTAATTCCAACACATAAAACGATGCTTTCTATTTTTTCGATTCCACTCCCGACACATGTCTCTGTCCCCAATGGTGACATAGACACAGTTCTGGCCCTAATGGAGTTAGGCCCCAGTCTTGTAGTGGGACTAGCACTGCTCCCTCCACATTAAAAGGTCCATTACTAGACATTGATTGCAGTTAACACAGACGCCAGCCTGCATTAATCGGCCCATCTTTCTACCCCAGTGGCTCGGACCTCGTATCCAGAATCATTTAGCAAGATCCAGGGAAGTCCGGGATTACTGTCTGAGTGTATCACGTCTCTTGCACTGCACCAGAGTAGAGTATAAAATGAAGAGGAATAAATAAAGAATTTAGGTAGACAAGAGAAATTGTCTGCTTGGGTGTGATGTAGGCAAAGAAAGAAGAGGCATAATAAAGCCGTGGCAGCAAGGTCACATAGAATCTGTCTGTTTGCAGCAGCCATTTTACCATAATAGGCAGCAATTTTCCCAAGCGCCCATGTACGAGAGTAAATTGAAGGAAGACAGGAGTCAAGTCTGTAATAGCGATAAGGGTTAGATGTGTGGCGGAGGACATGCAGTGGTAGAAGCTCTTGTATAATATGAGCTAATAATATGAAAACTTTGTCAAAACAAGGCATTCATTTCTGACCATCATTATTTTTTGGTTGTGAAACATGTAATTATACTGAACATCAATTGAACTACCTAAAATAATAACTTTATCAATTTGTCCATTCATACAGTGGCACATTCTACTGTATAGTTACTAAATATAGATTTGGATGTCACTTGCAGTGGGGGCAGTGAACTCAGTTGTAAATTGGGCATTCATTGGCTTTGCATTCATGATAGTAATAGTACAAATATCTAACATATCTAACATAAAGTATTTTGATGAGTAAAGCACAATTAGAATGATAAAGTGTCCATACCTGTTGATGGCAGAGCTGAGTTCATCGAGGCGGCGAGCGTCGGTGCTGGAGGTGTTGTCCAGTCTCGACAGAGTGTCCATCCTCTTGAGGATCACCTCCAACATGTCACTAATCTTCCTCAGAACTCCTCGAGACTCTACTCCTCCCAGCACTGCAGACAACACATGGAGCAAGGTCAGTGCTTCTCTAAACGTACACATGTGGTATATTTCCTTTCAAATCTAAGACTAATGCAACACAAACGTGGTTAAAGTTGTTTTAAATATTATGCTGGATGCCATTAATCTCTACAACAGCAAAGACAACTCTTCTTGTGAACTTCATTAAATAAATTATTCCAATAACACAATCAGACTCCAATTCCACTCCAGACTATAATTATACAATCAGACTCCATGGAGTGGCAGTTCAAAGTTAACATCATACAGCACACAATTAAAAAATAACAAAAGAAACACTTTTGATTTAATTAAATTACTTATATCTAATAATCACACAAGTCTACTCTGTTTATCAACTCAATGTTAAAACCCTCTTCTGGGCATTTCATTATAAAATGCCTTTTCTCATTATGTAAATGTCTGCTTTGAATATCAAATAACATCTTGCCCTCTCCAGGACCAAAGTCGCACAGCATAATTGCCTCCATCTTTCACCTGTGTATCTTGGCTCGATCTCCAATTTCCTGAGCAAACACCTCACACACATTCAAGACTCATCTGTCATATCAGGCCTCTTGGCAAGTCTAGACTAGAGACAATGGACTGATGTGAGGATACGAATGTTTGTGCTTCGGCTTTATTTTGTTGTTGCTACATTTTATAACCACGCCAACTTTTCTGTTCAAATTTAGATTTTCTTTTTTGACAAAAGACCAAACAACTATAGTGAAAACTACTAAAGGATACGCAGTCTACATATGAAACTTGTCTCTGGTACAAGAGCTTGAACTGGTCTTTGCGCTGTTCACGCTGTGTTGGGCTGAAAATATACATTCTGAAGACGCCTAATTACACATTTTGGATAATTAATTACAAAGCATGTTAAGATGAATAATGTATTTTTGTATTTGCCAGCACTGGAATGCATATACAGCATGCAGCCCAAGCTCCAACATGAGGCATAGACGTCTTGAGTGAGACTGAGGTCATTGTCCATTTTAGCTCCACATCAGTGATGACACAAACACCTGGATTATTACGTTTGGCCACTCTGTCAAAGCCTGAGGCTGCAGTCTGACAGGCAATTACAGCCAATGGGCCCTGGTCCTCACACTGAGAACAAGGTCACTGCGGCTTCTGCTGTAGGTGCCCAGGCTTCACCAACAGATGTGACTGTCCTACACTCACAATGTCATCTGCTTTTACAACTCTATCAGTTTCCTTATGTATTTTCTCCCAAACCACAAAAATGATTTCCGTTGAATGTCACCAACATCTTTCATGAAAGATGTTAGTGACATGCTTTGAAAAGTTTTTAGGAAATCCTTGAGCAACTTTCAAAGAAAAACAACTGTGTGTTTATAAGTACCTTATTTTGTATCCATTTTGAGCTCACAGATGGAACATCTTGCCATAATTTACTGTTGCATGATATTTACACTAGAGCTGCTATTTTTCGACTGTCACTGCTGCAGCAACATGGTTTCTATAAAGATCAGGGCTAAAAAAACCAAAGCATAGTCGTTCACCGCTTCAGAAAATAAAACATGATGAAGCATAGTGCCATTTATATAATCATAATATTGATTAATTGTATAACATATATTTTATATAATTGTGCTTTTGGGTTTTGGCTAAAAGCAGACTCTCTCTATGCTCTAAAAGTTAGAATAAGTTGAAGAATAAAATCAAGTTCATTGTTTAACAAAAAGTCAAAACTGTGCCTCTAGAGTAGTGTGTCAGAAAAATCCACACTTAAGATTCAGCCAGCGTAAGAGCGGGTGCTAACAAGACTGGAATTGCTATACTTGTTCTCCTCGTGCTGGGTCGTAGCTCCCCCTGGTATGTCCTGGAATTTTTCACCTCACAAACATACACTAAAATGCCTGGCCCTTGAATGAACAGATTTTAGCCTTGAGACAATCTTACATTGAATAACAGCACTGTATATAGACCTCCAGCTGTCCCCAAAGGGTCTCTACAATTGAGCTGAATATTTACCAACATGAAGCCTGAATATCTCTGGAGGACCCAACTGCGTGAAGCGTGAACAGAATTCTTGCAAAGGACCAAATTCTCTGCAGAAAATTGTGTGCAAGTTGTGCGGTGAGTGTGTGTGTGTGTGTGTGACCAAATCAATCTATATTTCTCTGTAATATGACGGGACGTTGATGAAACACAAGCTCCATCTACATTTTAAATGAGCGCAATTAGTGCATATGTGAGTGCATGACAAATGATTAAAAATAAATACATTTAAAACAAATCACGCTATGCTTAATGATGTGAAAAACTTAAAAGCCAGTGATGATCCATTATTCATTTCTTGCCTGAGTCACACCGCTACCAGGGCAAAAATCCATCAATATTACACATAAACCGCCGTTAAAAACGTACTTATGAACTTGTCACGGTGGGGCTCTGTGCGACTTTGAGCTGATGGAAATGGCGGCGGGTCACACAATACAAACCACGGTGACTTTGGACCGTCAAATCCTTTTATGCCCTGTTCAAAAAGACACTTTTCATCTAAGCCGGAACAGTGCTGGTCTGTGTCAACTGCGCCATCAAAAAGGACTCCCCCCCCATCCCCACACAGCAGGACGCCGTGCCAGGGAGAGGGTGTGCAAAAGTCTGAATCCTCATGCATGTGACTGCATAGTGGCTGTTCATGTGAAGAAGTTAGCTTAAGCGTGAGATAAACTCTGCTCTAAAGGCATCAAGGCGCCGAGGTGACTGTAATCAGGGGTGTGTACAGTAATTGTCGCCTGAGGTGGTGAGGAGGTAGCTCCAGGACCAGAGACGCTCGACTTATTTACTTATCCTCTCAGACTTTGTTGTGCCTTTGTGCACTGAATATGGAGCAGTTCTCAAACTCATAACATAAGACATTATTGAAGATTGTTTACCAAATTGCATTTAAATTTGTGGACGTCGAATTAAAATGCAATTCTGTATACAATTTAATTTGACGTCCAAGAATTAAAATGGAAAACCGCACTCTCCATAATTGGCTAATTGTATTTTTCTATTTATCTTTTCCGAGGGCGACAGTAGCTCAGTTGGTAGAGCATTGGCCTTTGAGCCCGAAGGTTGTGGGTTTGAGCTCACCGCGAGACCTTCTCCACCGACTCCCACTGATGTCTGCTGTCGTTGTGTCCTTGGGCAAGACACTTAACCCACTTTGCCTAAATGGAACGTGGAAGAGATGTTTGCTGCTTGCCTTGAAGTGTATGTGTATATGTGTATGTATCAAACTGAAATTTCCCCGTTGTGAGACAAATAAAGGACACTTCTTCTTCTTCTATCGATAATTGAATGTACACGATCTGAAATGATCGTGATGGGCTGTATCCCATGCTGCTTGCCTTTGTCATGCTAGGCTTTGTCTGCTTCCTTGAGGTAGCATCATTTCCCATGTTACACATTTCTATGCATTTGGGAGGTTTGTTTTAATAATGATCAAAGGCATATGCTCAGAGTACAATCTCCTACAGAAGGGGGTGCATCGTCTCAGCCAAAAGCCTTAAGTCGAGCAACCTCCACAGATTGCATCATGTCTTCGGGATAACCCACTAATCCCTATGTAAGTTATAATGCTGTGCAAACGCATGAATGCAATAACTATATGGGAGATTCTCTGAACAAACGCGATAGGAGATTCAGCCAACATCGCCATCCCCTACGCACATAAGCAAGCACTTGTTATATATTACAAGGAGCACAACAGGTTTTGATTGGCTTAAGGGCCGTTTGCATATTCATGAGAGAGAAAACTATTTGTGGTGTGATGAATTCTGACAGGAGAGGCTGCTGGATACGAGTTGACACAGCTAAATTAACTGGGGACTCGTGTCGTTTCGCCCCAAGAGTATACACAAAACAGTGGAAGAGGAAGGCTGGATTATATTAAAGGGAGAACTTGATAAAAGCTACAAATATTATTCCCTTTTTGTATGCAGAGCTTGTCAACATGTCCTCAGAAAGAAAAAAAAACGATAATTTGATTGAAAAATAGGTTCAGGTAAAAGAACAAAACAAAGATATGGCAGAGATGTAAGTTCGAATAGTATAGAAATAGGGATTAGGTTGTGCTCATGTTGAAGAATTCTACATTTTTCCACATTTTGAAAATTAAAATGTTTCCCAGATCAGTATTTTCTTTATAATGTCACCACTTGAAGACACCTTTGTTGATTTTTCCAACACAGATAAGAGAATAAAACAGTTCAAACACAAGAAATGCAATAAAAAACACAGAGCCATTGGACTATAAGGGGCAGATGTCCAATAAATGTTGTTAAATGTCGAGTGTCCTGGATCATCATCACCGTCCTTTGACCCTATTCATCGGCATAGATACAGTATAAACTAAGACTAGTCTGACTTTTAAGACATACTGTAGTTACCAGGAACATGAACACAACAAATTACAGCAATCATAATTATAGAATGATCCAAAACCAACTTGACACATAACGTTGAGATAAACCAAATGCTACTATGTTTAGTTGATGAAAACTATAGAAAATCTAAGGATGAGTCTGTTTTGATTGTGAAAACCAGTTCACATAATTATATCATTATACCCTGGAAACCCTTAAATAATGTATCCTATTTCATCTCCTTGAAGTGAAGCTTGAAGAATGAGGACATTTTGATGATTTAGAAATTATAACTTAAAGGAGCTCTACCCGTTTCTGCAAGGTGTGAATGTTTAGCACCGCCACCCAACTCGCTCACAGGTCTCTCATTTCACCTACGCTCTCATTCCACAGAGCCATCTAGTTTTATTTGCGATCTGATACGTATGCTAACCTTAGCATGAGCGCAACTTCTTGTGAGCTGTACAACAATCACTGATGAAATGGTACAAAAGCGACGCACTGCTAACAAAATATATAACTGAAAGATTATCGCTAGTTTTGCGTCTGAATGTGGTCCGAGCATAGATAGTCCGAGAAGCTCCCGCAGGTCTCTCCCATAGACAAGTCTCTCCAGAGGATACGATGTAAGCTCTTCTCTTCCTCACTGTTGTGTCATTTGGACTGTTTTGCTGTGTCTGCAGTTACAGCAAGAGCAGTTATACCCAATTCTGCTAACATGCTACTGTGTTTAGCAGTGCTGTAGAGGCTAGAGGACGAAGCCTCGTTCTATTCACACACTTTTATGGCCTGAATTCATACACAAGCTGAATCGATGAGCTCAAGTTTTCAAGTAAATTACGGATTACGGTTTTATATTTTTATGAGTCTGTATTATAGATAGATTGGATGAATTACCCCTAATTGGTTGGCTGGAACATTGATCCTCTATCTTTATTCTCATAGTTGTAACTAAATGTCTTTATTATACTAATGTTAGAGATTGCATGCTTCCTTCTGTATTATGCTAAAGTTAGATATGTTATACTTCTTTCTATATAATGCTGAAGTTGGAGGTTTTATTTATTTTAGAATAGTGTTCTGTGTCTTCCTCCTCCCTATTTTGTAACTGATGGTGCAACACTAAAATTTCCCTACAGTGGGACGAATAAAAGATCTCTTAAATATTGTAATCCGCTGTCCTTTTGTGTATTTGTGATTTTGTTTTGATTGTGAGTTTTTGCTTGTTGTATGTGCTTTGACATCAACCTGCCAACGGGACTAGATGATAATTAGCTGACTAGGGTGCACCTTTACATGTGGGAAAAACTCAGCTGCGCATTTACATGTTGGAAAAAAACTTATATGGATTCATGTGCACCTTCCCAATTCAAATGAATAAATCCTAAACCTCAATTTACCTTTGAATATTCATTCTTAAAATTGGTTTCTATTACCATTCTCCCTCAGCCCCCCGTTCCTTCCTCTTCCACAGCCCTCACTTTAAATCTAATCGCCTAAACATTTCTTATTCCTCCATCTCCTCGCACTAATTCCTCATCTCTTCTACGCTCTCTCCCAGCTCCTTTTTCACTGCCGTAAAAGACGCAATACAATCAACAGTAAAACTCGGCTCCCATCCCTCAGTGAACAGCCGGGCCAGCGCCGTAATGCCAATGTGCTTCCCAAAGTCACGCACATCCCCTCAGCACGCTCCCACACCCACATTCAATTACTGCAAATTACATGCAGTTTAATTATTATGGCGCCAGGGCACAACTGTTCATTAGCTAAAGAATGGCAAAACGACACGCAAAGCAGAGTCATTAGGATGCTTTTTTTCTATTTCGTTGGCCATGTATTGGAAACTTTTAGTGTGCAGTTTAGGCGAATGAAAATGCTGCAAATGGAGCGTGCAGAGAGTGAAATATTGCGGCAGTAATAAAGTAAACACAATGAATATCAATGATTGTGAAGACAATTCAATCAGATGTAAGCAGCATTAAGCAAGAACGATGCCATTCCTATGCAACAGAAAACGGAACCACAATAGTAAAAAAAAATGTGTTGGGGGAAAAAAACCCTTCCTGGTTTGCACTTATTGTTCGCAGCGGTTTTAATATTTATTGTCCATTTGATTTCTGCATTTCAAACCATTAGTCCAACCATGTCAAGCCAAATTGGATTTCAGGAAGGAGACCGGCTATAGATGAGAGGATATTAAAGAGCGAGAGACATGGAGGCAGCCACAGGGCCTATTAACACTGACGGCCTGTGTCAGTGCTTTTGTGGGCGCTGCTGTTTCAAAGTGATGGAAGAGGGTACAAAGAAAGACGGTGGGAGGCTCTGTAATCTGGCTTTAGTCTTGTAACAGTTCAAATTCAGAGCTGTTCTCTCTTTTTCTTCCTGGATTTCTTGATCATATGTCGTCTGTTATTATGTTCCGATATAGTGTGATATAGTATAGTGTGGAATTGGGTTGTGTCCCAGGAAACGAATATTAACGATTCTGAACAAAGGGACTAAAAACTAAATCGGAGAAGCACATTTATTTGCAATAGCAGTGTTTCTTAGGTTATGTACATGAGATGCGTTTTTTTTAGCAGTTTTTTTTTGCAGTTTGGATATTGACATTACTTCACAATATTTTTTACGTCAGCTTCTGGGTTAGATGCTTTTTGTACAATAAGGGGGAATGTTGTAAGCACCATCTTTAATGTACTTGAATCCAGAGTTCAATTGGAATAGACCACTTTTGATGCAAAAACATATGTATGCAATCATAATTAACATCAGGGAGTCGCAAATTGAAAATGCATTTTTCAGTGAAGGCTGTTCACATCACACACGAGAGCCATTTATCAGGCTGCATATTGTCTTGCTGATTACTACAGTGGCACTCAAGTGTTTATCTTTAAATGGAACAATGGCGACTGTGACGACCTTCCTTTTGATTGCGACTAGAAACAGCGCACGCAGCAGCATTCACTTTACATCCAGCCAGACGCTGGCAGAGTCCATGTTGGATCTTTCAAATAACACAGTGTAACCTCGTAGACAACGTTATCTGTAAATCTCTTCATCTGTCTTAACATCGCCAAGACGTTTGGGCTGTTCGTTTGAAATCAGCTTCAAGAATCAAGTGAACCTGATGCCCTGGCCAGCGTTAGGCCCTTACCCGAGCCATGGGCTCCCCCCATAGACTTTGCAAGTGCTGCTTGGACGATGTCCACATGCCCAGCTGCAGGGTCTTGGCCCTGATGCTTATTTGAAATCAGATGCAAGA